CCTGTGCATGGAAGGAGCCTTCTGATCAGCCTTTTGTCCTTGGTCTTACCCTATCTAATCTGTTTCTCATAATGCAAGGAAGACATCCTTCTAAACTGGGAATCTGACATCACTTCCTGTTTTTCCTACACGGGTCTCACTGCTCATGATCAGTGGACTCTGGACCCTGACAGGCTGGGCACAGGGCTGTATTTTCAACAACGATGCATTCTCACCCTGGGCCTGAGTTTCCTCATCGGCAAAGTAAAAACCCAAACCAGTTGCCATCCAGTCAACTCCGATTCGTGGCTACCCTGTGTTTTATCAGATTTTTTGGGAGCACACGGTCAAGGTCTTTCTTTTCAGGTGCTTCTGTGGGGACACGAACCTGCAACCTTTTGGTTAGCAGCCAAAAGCATTACCGTTAGCACCACTCAGGGACCCCACTGGCAAAATGCGATCCAAAATACCCATTGCAAAGTGTCGTTAGGATATGCAGGGTGCCTAACACAGCAGGCACCTCTTACATGGAGCGTCTAAGGAGGCCCGGTAGCATAGTGCCTAAGGCATCTGACTGCTAACCAGAAGGCTGGCGGTTCAAACCCACCAACCACTCAGTGGAAGGAAGACTGGGTAATCTATTTCCATAAGGATTAATTGCCTTGGAAACCCAATGAGGGTCACCATGAGTTGGAATTGACTGGGTGGTAGTGGTTTTTTTTTTTTTTTTTTTTTTAATGGAGCTTCTATTCATATTAATATGGAAACAGGGAAAAGAGAGGGAAGGGGAGAACCGGTTGCCTGAAAGGCAAGGTGAATTCCACACAGCTTCATAATTACACACTTTCTCATTTTATCTTCATAACCCCTCTGGGGTGGGTACACTTACCTACGTTTTCCAAGTGAGGAAGCTGGGACTGCGAGTGGGCTGACTGACTCGAGGCCAGTTCAGACCGGGGTCTTTCTGAGTGCAGAGTCCTGAGCTCTGGCCACCACCCTCGGCTGCCTCCCTGGTGCAGTGCGTTCATTTGGTAAGCCCTCTCTCAGATCTCACCAGCTGAGGAGAGGCTGTAGGTCAAGGGCATGACAAGACCTGTGAGAATCTGAAGATGGTTAGTGACAGGAAGAACCAAGTGACTGGTGAGGCATGGGTTCCCATACGGTTAGAGGAGAACACGGGGAACACGCAGTCACCCAGCATGACACTTCCTGCATATCTGCGAGCTCTCTCCTATGCAAACAACAGCCAAGCTCCAGCACTCTTTCTACAACAATGAGAATATTTATTTTCTCCAGGCAGTAAAAATAACATTTTTCTCTCTTTTGTAAAAGTTAAGTACCATTACATTCCATTTTCTTAAATAACAAAATCCTAAAAATATATATTAAATTGTATACAGTGCGTCACACTTCATCTTATATTTTAAAATACATGATGTTTCTATTTTATTCTCAAAGTTGCATATTAAGAGCATATTTACAAATAAAGCCTTGTCCTCCAGAGTCAAGATCCCTGTGAGAAGGTGACTTTGGACGTGGGAAGGTCTGGCGCCGTGTGAGCTGGGGGTGGTAGCTCCTTGCAGGCAGGGAGAGGGGCCTCCAGTCTCTGCTTTTAAGACACTTCCCTGCTGAAGCAACAGTACCCCCCGACTCTCCTCCACAACCCCCTAAATGACTTCAACTTGGCAAGACAGGAGCCAGGAGCCGGCTTGCAGGGGATCTGAGGCTGAGGGCCAGAGCCACCCCAGGGGCTGCGCTGAGGCTGGAAGGTTTGAAAACACCCTACACCAGGGCAGCTGAGCTCAGAGACTTGGCCAGGAGGTAGAAGAGTGAGGAGAGTAAACAAGGACACCAGAGGAAACACAATCAAAAGATCAGCAATCCCCAAGCTAACAACCAAAGCGGACATAGACACGCAGAGATTCCCAGCCCAAGAAGGTGGCAGTTGGCTGGGAGGGGAGTGGGTAGCTGGCCTGGCTTGGAGTGGGGCGCGTGGGTCTGGGGAGGCCTCATCGGATGAGGGGACGGATCTGAGGCTGCCCACTTCTCTCTTTTTGTATTTATTTTAGCTATTGTTAGTGGTCATTGTAGGCCGTTCGCTTTGAAGTGCTTGGAAGGCTAAGTGCGCGGTGCCCCAGGGCTCATGGGGGCTTGGGGACGGTCTGGTTGACCGTGGCCAGAGCATGAGCCTGAGTTGGGGCTGGGCAGGTGTGGGAGTACGGCTGTGTTTGGGCCCACCCCACAGGTTTGCCTGCCGGACAGGACAATCACACTTAGAAGTGCTTTGATGTATCGGTGGGTTTCTGGCTGACTGGAATCCTGAGCCAGAATCCACCCTTCAGAAGTCACAGCCACCCAGTTACCTCACTGCTCCCCAGAGAGGCCTCAGGCCGGCTCCGAGAGGTGTGTATGGTGGTGGGGGGCATTGGGGTTCATTCCCACTGGTTACTGCTTCGCATGTGACAGGATAAGTGGAGAGAACACAGGCACTGTGTGTGTACCTCCCAGGACCACTGGGGACATCTCTAAGACCCTGCCCCATAGCTGCCCTAAGTCAGTCACCACAGAAGGAGGCCGGGTGCCACAATGAAAGCAGGCCGGGGATGGCCCGCCGGCTGGGGCAGGTCTGAAACTGAAGCAGCTTTGGGCATGGGCTTCAGAGCAGCCATCCGCCATGGCCCGTCCCTGAAGCGCCCTATGAAGGCCTCTGCGTCCCCTTCCACAGCCCTCTCTGTGCTCTGTAATTACCGTGTTCAGGGTCCCCCCTCGCCGATCTCCTCCAGCCCCCACGTTCTGGCTCGTGAAGTGGTTCCCTTCTCAGGTGCTCCCGTGGCCCCAGGCCCTCTGGGGGCGTCGATGACTGGCTCTAGCCTGGGCCTGGCCTTCATGGAGACTCAACCTGGGACAACTTACAGCCCTCTTTCCCCTGGTGTTATACCGAGCTGGGCGTGGGCTTCCCGCCCCTGCACCGGGGTCAACAAGAAGCCAGCCTGGGCATCGCAGTGTTTTCTGGGACCCCTGTCAAGGGCCACTCCGGCTGCAGGCTTCAGACAGGACACCAGGGTGGGGCCTGGCCTCTCTGGCCCAGATGGAGATGGAAGGGGAGCCGGCAAGCGTGGTACCTCAAAAGCCAGCAACCAGTGTGAGCCCAGGCTGCTGAACAACAGCCTCCCTGCTGGGGTGCACCCTTGCCGGGCCCGCATTCCCTTCACGCTGCTCACAGCTCTCCTTGCAGCACTGGGCCCTTCTGAGTGTACTGCCCGACACGTATGTCTGAGAGCAGGTTCCACAAAAGCCCGCAACAGCTGGAGGGAGACAGACGTGTGGGTATGTTTGCAGGGGTCCTTGTGCGGAACAAGCTTCGATCCTCCGGCCAGGGGCCTGCAGCAGCTGCTCCAGGGTAACCGCCCTTTCTAGACCAAGGCCTGAAGACAGCGCTGAGCGGCCCTGCTGTCTGCAGCCTTGTCTGCACAGGCCTCACGGTGCGCCTGGGCGGTGCCCCTGCCCCCAGTGGCCATGCTGCCTGGCCTCTGGGTGCCCCTGCCCGGCTCCTCCCAGCATCTCTCCTGGACGCGGGTTGCCGAGCGCCACCTCTCCCTGCGGATGCCTCCCAGCTGGCCCCAGCCTGCCCCTCGTCCTCCTGGCAGTGGGCAGGCACAGCAGGGTTGCCAGCGTGGCAGGACCCTGGGAAGGGCCTTGGCAGGCAGTGGCTCGGGGGGAGGTCGGCAAAGTGCTTTAGAGAGACCAAGGGCAAAACAGGCAACCTGGACCCAAGCGTCCAGGGGCGAGTCGTGCTCCGACAAAGAGCCCAGCGCGGGCTTCCCGAGAGGCGGACTGCTCTTCTCTCAGCCACTGCTGACGAAACCTGCGTTCATGTGGTGGCGACACGCAAATGAGGTGCAACCACTCACACCACCAATCTCAATCTCAGGACCCCACACCCTGCCTCTCACTCCGTCTCTACAATCCACCCAACATGTCTTAGGGAGGCCGGGGCACGGGACCAGGGGCAAGAGCCCTCTCCTCCACTTAGCCACTCCTAACTCCACTCAGGGCCACAGGAAGAGGCAGACAGGGCCCCGGCAGCTCAGCCCTCGGGCGCTTTTTTAGCTGGGAGACACCCGAGCCGGGCCTGCAGGCTCCAGGTCTCACATGGTGCTGCCCCAATTGCAGTGCAGCATTTTCACTCCGCTTCTGACTGACAGTCAAGGGGTTAGGAGTGAGCCTGGTGAATGAGGACGAGATGGGGGCCTGGCCCAGGTTCCCCAGGACCATGAGCTGCAGGACAAACCCAACCCTAAGAGCAGTTACTGAGCCTCTACCAGCTTCCAGTGAAGTCCGCTGCACGACTAAACGGATGGACTCTTAATGTGACCGGTCTTCACGCTTGCTCTACTAGTCACAGAGCTATGAAAACAGAGACACGGAAGGAAGCCTGCGGGGAGGCGTCAAGGTGACACGAACGAGGGCCTGCCAAGCTGGAGGAGCCCAGACTGACCAGAGGCCTGACAGCCAAGCCCCAGAGTCAACAGAGCATGGGGCCCTATGCTTTGGGGTTGCTAATGGCCAGGGGTACACACCAGGACCAGGCTAACCTCCAAGAGACCTCAAATTCTCCCTGTCTGGTCCTGTGCCAGAAGTGAAGACCAGAAAAATCTGATTCGTGGGCAGACAGGACAGAAAAGAAGCAAGACAGAGGCAACGTACAGCATGCCCGCCCGCCATCTGACAGCTGTCTAAAGGGCTGAGCCCAGTGCCCGACGCAGCCCCTGTCCCTCAGACCCACTGCTTCCAGGACAGACAGGGCCAGGGCGTGGGGACTTGGAGTCTCTCTCCTGAACACATCTGATCAAGCAGGGTGAACCCAGGCTGCACGGCCCTCCAGCAGCCCCTTCCTGTCTGTAGGCGGGTGTCTGAAGGGGCCAAGGGAGAGGCAGGGAAGTTGGTCAGAGGAGAGCCATGGGGAAGGCTCGACCCCACAGCCTGAGCTCACACAGGGATCTGGTGTCCTAGCCGGCCTTTTAGTCATTCACGAGGGGACTCCGGTCATCTTGTTGACTCTGACCCTTGAGCTTCTTCTTAAAGATGGAGATCGAAGTTGAAGGCTTGTAAAAAATGCTCCAGATTTCCCCTGAAGTCCCTGGTTGGCGGCAACCCCGAAGGTCTCCTGACGCAGGAACACGATGGGACCTGTCAGACACAACACAACCAAGTGTTTCAGCAGAGCAGAGAAGGCGTCCGAAACAGCCAACCGGCTCATGAGCTACCTGATACCACTAGTGGCTGCTGAGTGAGGCATCATGGCAGGTGTCAGAGGCCGTGAGGGTGAACCGTGTCCTGTGGGCATCGGGGCAGGTGTCAGAGGCCGTGAGGGTGAACCACTTCCTATGGGCAACGGGGCAGGTGTCAGAGGCCGTGAGGGTGAACCACATCCTATGGGTAATGGGGCAGGTGTCAGAGGCCATGAGGGTGAACCATGGCTTGTGGGCATCGGGGCAGGTGTCAGAGGCCGTGAGGGTGAACCGTGTCCTGTGGGCATCGGGGCAGGTGTCAGAGGCCGTGAGGGTGAACCGCGTCCTGTGGGCATCAGGGCTGCAGGACAGGGTACAGTCAAGCAGGTGCCAGCCTAGTATAACAGAGAACTTTCTAACTGACAAAATTATTCAAACTGGAAAGGGTTTGCCAGGGACATTACAGTTTTCAAATTCTTTTTCTTTTTTTAAATTAGCAGATCTTTCTTCAAATGATGTTTGTTCACCTGGAGTGCACCTAACTAAAAGAGCTTGATGAAGGCAAAAGTGCTCCGCTTGGAGGGGGCCTGTCTTACCGCTCACGCCTCCCCTGACCCTGTGTCAGCCCCAGGGCTGCCTGAGAGGGCACTGCAGAGGGAGGCTGGTACCAGGTGGGCATTAGCCCCATGCTTTGCAGGCACCGAGGGCCTTGGCTCTGCTGTGAGATGCTGGGCCCACGTGAAGTGTCCTGCTCTCTTGGGGCTGCAGGGGAAACGTGGCAAGGTGGGACCTGAGAGGCTTCCCTGGGACATGGGAGCGTGGCTTTTTAAAAATATGTAAAACAGGCATGACCGTGAGCTCAGGAAATGAGAATAAGGACATTGTCTCCACTGGAAAAGGTGAAGTTGAGGGTAGAGACGCCTGTGTCGTGCGACAAGGTAGAAATACAGGAAAGGACTGTGGCAAAAGCAGCCCTCGTCATGCAACAGGGGAGCCCGCACTTAAAGCACGGAGCGTCTGCGGCAGAGGGCAAGCGGAAGAGCGGGAGAAACTTGGCGGCTCTGGCTGGACCCAAATGTTCAGGAAGGCCTTGAAACGGGGAGCATCTGCCCTGGGGACCCCACAAAAGACAGAGGAGGGGCCCAGGAAAAACGAGGCACACAAATATCGGCGGCACCAACAACTCCCCTTTCTTGGAAGGTGGAATTGTCAAATGTGAGCAGCACAGTAAGGAAGAGATATGAGTTTTTTTTTCCCTTCAAGTTAGTCTGAATTGAAGGCTGAGACTTCTATAGCTTTGCAAATAATTGTTTTAATTTGCAAGCAAGAGTTAGAAACGTGAGAATCCTCATCCTAACAGTGCTTCCTAGTTTACTGGGGGAGGGGGGGACAGTAATACGTTGCCATTGAGTGGATTCTGACTCACGGTGACCCCATGTGTCGGAGAAGAACTGTGCCCCGGAGGGTTTTCCGGGGCTGGTTTTACGGACGTACACAGCCAGGCCTCTCTGCTCAGGTGCCTCCCGGTGAACGTGAACTGCCAGCCTTTTGGTTGGCAGCCAAGTGTGTTAATTATTGTACCACCCGGGGACTGGGTATCTGGAAGACACCAGGAAATACGTCTGGTTTGTCCCAGGGTTCTCTGCTCTTGCATAAAGATCTTTTCATAGCACCAGCGGCATCAAAAGATGGAACTGTTGTTTTTTGATGCCCAGACGGTTGCAATCCTCCTTGAAATCATATCCTTTGGACATTGGAGCAAACACAATCCCCCTGACCTCTGAGATTTGTCCAGTTGTACATTTCACTCTGCAGAGGATGAGGGCTGTCTAATGCCTGACGTCGCCTAGTCTGAGGGCTTTGGAGTCACACTCTGATATCACAGTTGTACCCAGACAGATGAAGCACCAGAGAAAGGAATCCGGAGGCTTCCCCTTCCCGGGCTCCAGCTACCCTCTGTACTCACTTGAACGTGACGTGCAGAAGTATCTTGGCGACAATCGCTGTGACTGTGAGAATGAGGAGAGTTGCCAGGCCATACACCGTCCATCCTGCAAGTACAAAAGACAGGTCTGTGGGGCCTGTTTGTGCCTGGTTTTCAACAGACGGTATGTTGGAAGCCCCGAGTAAACACTGGGAGCTCAAGGAGGCAGGGCTGGCTGGGGAGCCCTCTGTAGGTGGGGAGCGGCCGCGGGAGCAGCTGAGAACTGGGCTGAGCACGGAGCCCCAGGCTTTCTGAGCACTTCACCTCGTTCCAGAGCTCACTCCTGGGGAGAGGCAGGGTTGGGTGGTCCAAAAGTCACCGGGCTCAGAGCTGAAATGGGTCTGTCTCTGCCGCTGGAATCCCTGGGCAACCTCAGGGGGTTTACATAGTCTCCGGGCCTTGGTGTCCTCATCTGAGGAATGAGATGTGTGGCCTATGAAACGGTCCTGGGATACAGCAGAGCAATCACAGGTGTATCACAGAGCAAGCCCTGCGGCGGCTCTGACCTTCCATGCTGGGCCCTACAGGGACCCCAGGAGCAGTCTGAAATCCTTTAGGCTAGGTAATTGCTAAGGAGCTCTGGTGGCGTGGTGCTAAAGCATTTGACTGCTAACCAGAAGGTTGGTGGTTCAAACCCACCAGCCACTCCTTGGAAGGAGGACTGGGCAATCTACTCCGTAAAGATATACAGCCCCAGAAACCCAATGGGGGTCACTGTGAGTTGGAATTGACTCCATGGCAGTGAGTTTGGTTTTGGTTTAGGTAACTGCTACCAGTACCCTCCAGCTCTCCCAGCTCATGAAGTCTTCGACTTCCTTGGAGAAAAGAGGGACTGGAAGTATGTCCCCACCCAAGCAGCTAGCTTAAGCCACAAGACCGTACCCGCTCTCTCCCTTTCCTGTGTGCCTCTTCTTCCTAAGTCTTATAGTTTTGCTTCTTGTCTTCTCCTCCCACTTAGAATAGAAGCCACAGGAGCCTAGGCATTTGTTTGGTCCTCTGTGTTAATGCCAAGAACAGTGGTTGGCACTATGGAAGCACTTAACTGTCTTTAGAATGAGTGAATGCATGGAGCTTTTGCAAATGCTAGTAAAGTTGGAGAGCTACCACCTGGAACTCTAGAGAGATCATCCCAAAGTGAGGAAACACTGCTGATGAGCTACAGGGTGTACAACACGCAAAAGGCACATGCTGGATCCCGGGAGGGGACCACTTGCCCCCCAGGGCCCCCAAGACTAAGGAACCAAGATAAGGAGAAGATTTCCTTCAAAGGCCAGGACAGACTATAGATCATGGGACCACTACCTCCAACCCACCTCTGAATATGAAACACCCAAGAGCACTTCTGTTTCTGTAGCTGCCAAGAGCGCTACCTTCAAACTCTGGGACTTCCACCCTGTACTGCTAATGCCTGTGAACTGGTACCTGGGACGGCCTGAGGTGGGTGGCTGGGGCTGGTGGTGATGGCGTAGAGGACCTTGGAGGACCAGGCAGCACTGACACTGAGGTTGGCCTGCTCGGTGATCACCTCGGCCAGGGTCTGGTTGACGGCGGGTGTCTCCTGTGGCTGCTCTTCCTTGACGGCTGGAAGAGCAAAGAAATTAAGTGGGGGTGAAGATGGATGGAGACTACAGAGGGCTACAGAGGAGGAGGGCGGTGGTTATGAGAGGGGGCTCTTAGATTCAATCCTGGGTATAGAACTCTTCGGGGAATAGCTCCACCCACTCTGCTGACCCCAAAAGCAGAACCTATCAGGCTCTGGCACTGAAGAAGCTGCCAGCTCCTCATTATCTGATTGACCTCTCTGCAGACACCTGAGCACACTCTGTAGGTGTCTTGCATCTTTGCAGCTATAGTCCCTCTGCCGGGAAGGCCTTCTTTCTTCCAACCCATCGACCACCCCGATCTCACTGTTCTTCAAGCCTGTCCCATCTCGGGGGAGGCCACACACGAGCTCTTCTCAAGGCCCTGCCATTGCTACCCAGGATGACACACACTGGGTCTCAGACACCTCCTCGTGTGTTGGCAAAGAGATATGCCCAGCACATGTGTTCACACTACAGGGGTGCTCTGCCCCGGAAGGGTTTGAAGAAAGATGGTCAGTCAGTCTTTTGGAATTGGCTGGAAAGTTTAGAGGCAAGAGGATGACCAAAAAGACCTCTTTAGATCCTTCCAACTCTACCAACCCCAAATCTTTGTTACGTTTTTACGCCCTCTCTCACCATGAGAGCTATTGTGAGTACTGAAATAGCAAAGTTGACAGGTGTCACACCTTTCCTCTATCATGAAACATAAACAAGTTATGAAATGGGAGGTCAGAGAATCCACAGGTTGAATCAGTAGTCCCTGAGTCCCAGCAAGAACCACCCAAGTGGGAGAGAAGGCCGAGTCACACAGATCTTGAAGGATTGGTCCCCAATGGGCGAGGTTGTCTTACCTTGGTATAGGACTGCAAATCCCTGGGCCTGATTGATGCGATCAGAGAAGAAATACAAAATGACAAAATCCAGAGAGACATTGAAGGACAAAGGGGGGTGGTTCCTTCCACTGAAGCGGACCAGGACCCGGTGGGTGTAGCCGTCCAGCAGCTCCACCATGTCTGCGGAATCCCTGATGTCAAACAAGGTGAAGTTGAAGTGGATGTGGGAGGCCCCTGGGACACGGATGGTCCAGTAGCACACCCTGCCTGTGGCATAGGTGTCGGGAAAGTCCGGGGAGTAGACCACTGCAGTCATGGCTGAGTAATTCCCACCACAGGCGCCCACGAGAGCTGGGGAGACAGAAGGACACCAGGCCTCAGTGTGGGTCTCAGCCACAGGGCGTGCTTTCCAACTTGGTTACAAACAAGACTCTCCCTAACTAATGCGATCCAGGTTGGGGTGCAGTATTATTTTCCTATCTACAAAACCAGCTTGTCTTATGTTTCCGGATCAGATCACAAAATGAACAAACCCTGCACAAATGGCTGTGGAGGCTTTTCTCTTTTGCCCGGGAGACCTTTGGGGTGAGTGTGCAGAGCGGCGGTGTGGCCTGGGTCGGGGCCGGGCTGGAGCCAGAGAGTCTGGATTCCGGCTGGCTGGGCCATGGGATCCCAGGGCTGCACCTCCCTTGCAGGCCTCTCGCTTTTCTGTTTCGAGGATGGACAGACCACCACCTGCTCCTGTATTGTATGAATGCGTCAGGGCAGATGACACAGAACATGTAAAAATACTGGACCCATCTGGAAGGGGGGCACTCGATAAAGTAAGGTTGTAAAAAGAGAAGGGCTTTACAGCTGCACAGGCAGCCCTGATACATTAGAGGAGCAACACTTGTGTGAGAGGGCCAGGCTCAGTTCCCAAACAACAACTCACGGCACAATGAATGTGCTGAACAAAGGAATAACCTTCAGAACAGGGGAGACACACTGGATTCCTTTCACTGTGCTGACCACATCCAATCTCTCGACTCCTGTTATTGCATCGGTAGGTTCCAGGGAAGGGACACGCCATTCCACCGTACCTTACGCAGTGAAATGTAAGATCCCAGACACGAAAGTCCTTGAGAGGACACGTAGCAGGGCTTTGCCATTTACTGATTATGAATGTGAACAAGTTACTTAACCTCTGTATTCCTCCGTCTCCTCATCTATAAAACGAAAGTGATAATGGTGTCTCCTTCATGGACTTAGAAGAATTAAATGAGTTAGTACATGTGAAGTGTTTCTTACAGGGTCTGGCACACAGTACAAGCTCATTGAACAGGAGCTATTCTAGGATTATTTGAAAAGAATAAAATATGCACAATAAATCGGTATTTCAGTAGCAAACCAAAACCTAACTCACTGCCGTTGAGTTGGAACCGACTCAGCAACCCCTCCTTGGGTTTCTGAGGCAGTATCACTATGGAAATACATTGCCCAATCTTCCCTCTGAGGAGTGGCTGGTGGGTTTGAACCTCTAGCCTTCTGGTGAGCAGACAAATGCCTTAGGCACTATGCCACCAGAGCTCTCCTCAATAGCAAAGGTAGGCCTTAACTGTAGAATTTTTGATCCTCAGGTATCTGCCATGCTAACAGTACATCCGATTCAGCAATTTTGAGAGCACACACATGATATCTACGGTGAATCATTAAAATACAATGACAATACAACAGGATACCTGAATCTTACTTTTTGGAGGGGGATTAGCCAGACACACACAATGTGGGCAGGTGGAAGGTTGGGAATATACCCCCAGTGGCCTCAAGGGGAACAGACCTCGGACCTCTCAAGGGGCCAGTGTTCCTGCCTTCTGTGATGAAGTGTACGAAATACAGTTATTAACACAGTCATGGCAATCAGAGCCCACCATCCTTAGGCCCTCCGTCTTCTCCACCATTAATCTCTTTCTTTTCCACTAGGATGAAGGCAGGGGTCTTGGCCTGTGGGACCTTTGGCAAAATACTGAACTTTCATGAGTCTCAGTTTTCTCATCTGGAAAAATAGGGATAATGGTAGCTGCTTCACTGTGAGAAATAAGGGAGACAATGCACATGAAATAAACAGCACAGTGCCCACCAGGTGATGAGTACTCAACAATGCTATGCAGTAAGGCCCCATCCATGTGACTAATTCCTCCCACCAGAGCCTTGAAGCTGACAGGGTCCCGAGAAGCCCAGGTGGTCTCAGTAACCCACTGTTGATTCCAGTCCACCTGCTCTTCTCTCTGGTTCTGTTCATTCAATAAATTGTAATTCCAGGGCTGAAGAGGTCTGGAGTCTCCATCAGCACTGTGTTTACAGAGGGCACGTGAGCAACCTAAGTTCACGAGAGCTGGCTGAAAATGAGCCTGTGACAAATTACCTGCTGGTGTGGCGACGGCGACCGCGCAGGCAGCTTCCGCCAGCTACCCATCATCAGCCTCTAGAGCTGAGGAACCCGGAGCACTTCCCTGATTACCAGAGAGCAGTCAGACCTCATGGACATTCGGAGACCTAGATTTGAGCTGTAACTGGTAGCGTGGCCTGATGTTCTGGAAGCAGAGACCGTAAACTGCTCCCTTCTCATCCTCTAACGCCTCTTCCTGTTTCTGTAGAGACAGCTTTACCTTCACAAACTACGGGACAGTCTGCCGTCACCAGCTCCCAAATGCTCAGCTCGATCCAACGGGTCACAAGGATTCGCGTGAGGATGCGCTTGAGCTACTTAAAATATTTCACTCTCTACAGATGCAACGGAGCCCTGGTGGCACGGTGGTTAAGTGCTCGGCCACTAACCAAAGGGCTGGCGGTTGGAACCCACCAGGTGCTTTGCAGGATAGAGTCTGCTTCTGTAAAGATCACAGCTTTGGAAACCACACAGGGCAGTTGTGGTCTGGGCCACAGGGTCACGATGAGTCGGAATCAACTCGACAGTAACGGGTATGGTGTGGTGGGACTTTAGAGAGTACTTCGACAGTGCTGCATTTGTGCCTTTCTTTGCAGACCAGTGAGGTATGAGTTATGGGGCTGGCTACTGTCAAGGGCTTGGAAGACCAGAGTAGACCACCCTGCAGAGTGCCAACCTTCTAGTGCCTGAGTGAATGGAAGCCAGAGAGGACAGCTTCTGGATAGTCACCTTAGGGCCAATTTAATAATAATTAGAAAAACTGGGCATACTTTGCTTACTTGAATTTTAAGTAGTAAACTGGATGCATTATTATGATCTACTTTATTATTGTTAATAAAAGGGGTTCTTCTATTTAGTCATTGAAATAGATTAAAAATGTGGCAAAGCAAGGTTTAAATCCCGGCTCTGGCACTAGCTTGGATAAATTATCTTTCGACTTGCATTTTTCTCATCAATAAGGCTGTTGTGAGGATTAAATAACATAAAATATACAAGAGCACCTGGGGTCAAGGCTCATGCACAGCACACACATGTAATAAAGCAATCTACTTCCTTATAATTAGAATGATAATTATAGGTTTTTCATTATAATCAGTTCATTTTAGTGTACCTTTGTGTGAGGAGTGGTACTGTCCCCTGGATCAATTTCCAGTACCAAAGTCAATACTTGGTATGTGAATGACTTTAAACCATATTATCTCCAAGAGCAGTATTTACACCTCTAGTAGAGGCAGTGTACTAAATACAACAGATAATTTTATCTGCTGCACAGCAGATACCCAATAAAATGCTGCATGAAAAACTGTTACATAAAAATTATACTCTTTCTTATAATTGAGATAAAATTCACACAACCATTTAAGTGGTTTTAAAGTGTAAACAATTAGTCCAAGGGACTGGTAGACCATGTGATCCTCAGCCTGTATGAGCATGAGACCAGAAGAACTAGATGGTGCCTAGCTACCACTGTCAACCACTCAGAAGGGGGGATCAATGCAAGATATCCTGGATTGAGTGGGAGAACAATGTGGAACAAAACTCAAAATCATTAAAAAAAAAAAGAGGCCAGGTTTGCTGGTCTGATAGAGCCTGGCAAGACGCCTGAGACTGTGGCCTCTAGTTCCCCTTCAGGTCTGGAATTGAACTCATTCCTGCGGCTGCCAGCCAAACAACAGACAGGCACATGGGGTGAGCATTTACATCAGGTAGATACACTCCCTGCAGTGATCAAGCATGGGAGAACAGAAGGGCAGCGTTTGCACAGGGAGACAGCTAGGGGGTTGGGTGGGCCGTGGGAGTACATGGGAGGGAAGGACACAGGGAAGAGGTAACTATGGGAAGGAAGTGGGAAGAGAGCTGCTACATTGTAAGGAATTACAGTCAGTGTCATGAGATGAACTGTGTACGAACTGCTGTATGGAAAATGAATTGGCTCTGTAAACTTTCACCCAAATCACAATAAAAATTAAAAATAAAATAAATAGTTTTCAGGTATGTAATTCAGTGGTTTTTAGTACGTTCGCAATGCTGTGCAACCAACACCACTACCGAATTTCAGGACGTTTTCATCACCTCAAACTTAAACCATAACCAGGAAGCAGTCACTTCCCCATCTCCCGTTCCCCCAGTCCCTGAAAACTACTAATTTGCTTTCTGTTTCCATGGACTTGCCTGTTCTAGACATTTCATGTAAACAGAATCAGACAACATGCAGCCTTGTGTGTCTGGTTTCTTTCACTGAGCATAATGTTTTCAAGGTTGATCCACGTTGCAGCATGTATCGTATTATAGCTGTTTATATGGCTGAACAATATTCCGGTACATGGATATACCACATTTCGTTTATCCATTCATCAGATGATGGGCATTTGGGTCATTCCCACTTCTTGCCTATAATAATGCTGCTATGGACATTTGTGTTCAAGTTTTTGTTTGGACATATGTTTTCAATTCTCTTGGGTACACACCTAGGCGTGAAATTAGGGGGGCATAAGGTTGGGCAATCTGCTTCCGTAATGATTCTGCCTCGGAAACCCAAGGAGGGGTCGCTATGAGTTGGGTCCGACTTGATGGCACATAACAACAACAACAAAGGTAATTCAACGTTCAGTATTTTGAGGAACCACCAAACCGTTTTCCACAGGCTGCACCATTTTACATTCTCACCAGCAGTGTATGAGGGTTCCAATTTCTCCACATCCTCACCAATACTTGTAATTTTCCATTTTTTTAAACAAATTAAAACTATAATCTATTCTAAGTCAAACAACAGGGAGTGAGTCCATGCACACTGCTTCTGTTGACTCTCTAGTCTCAAAGCGTCTTGGAAGTGTGAGCCCAAGAAGGTTACCTACCCTCCTAGGACTCTTGTCTGTAACATGAGAGTGATATTAGTAAAAAGGTAGGGTCTTGGTGGTGCAGGGGTTAAAGCATTTGGCTGTTAACCAAAAGGTTGGAGGTGCGAACCTATCAGCCATTCCACAGGAGAAAGACACAGCAGTCTCCTCCTGAAAAGATTTACAGCCTTAGAAACCCTACATAGCAGTTCTGTTCTGTCCTAAAGGATCATTATGAGTTGGAATCAACTCGATAACCCTGGGTTCAGTCTGGAGTAACAGTAATGCTATCATGGATTGAATCATGTTTCCCTAAAACATGCACTGAAATCCTAGTCCTTGTACCTATAAATATGACTGTTTGAAATAGGCGTCTTCTTTTACGTCACTGAGGTCATATCAGTGTAGGGCTGTGAATCCTAAACTTAATCAGGTGAGTTATAAAAAGGGCAGGGGGCACACAGAGACACACAGAGGAAGGTGGACTCCAAGGAACACCCAGGACGCCAACCTGGGAATTCCTGGGCCACTGACGAGGAAGGAGCCCCCACCTGCCTCAGCCCCCTGAATTCGGACTTCCAGCTGACACTTCCAAACTGGAGAGCAAATACATTTCTGTCCTTGAAAGCCACCCACCTGTGATATTTCCGTTAAGGCAACAAACAAACACCAAAAACCAAACTCACTGCCATAAAGTTGATGCCAACTCACAGCGACCCTGTTTGGGTTTCAGAGGCAGTAAATCCTTACCGAAGTAGATTGCCCCATCTTTCTTCTGCGGAGCAGCTGGTGGGTTTGAACTGCCAATCTTCCGGTTAGCAGTCAATGCCTTAGGCAGTGTGCCACCACCAGCAAACTAAGACAAATGCTTACCTCAGATGGCTGCTGGGAGGATTCAATGTGATAATGTATACAAAGCTTTCATTATACCAGATAGTTTGTTTGTTTTTTAACAAGGCATTTTGTAAACTCAGCCAACATACTCTCCTGAGTTAGGCATCAAGGCAGAGAATCTTAAATACCCTATGGAAACGAAGAGTTAAACAGATTGCAGTGTGTATGACCGGCCAACATTCTTTTTTTATACATAATTTATTTTTGTGGTTGGTGTTGAGAACATACACAGAACGTGAACCATACAACACTTTCTGTGTGCACGGTTCAGTGGCACTGACTACACCCTTTAAGTTGTGCAACCACTCGCACCCTCCTTTTCCAAGTTCTTATTTGCCAACTACTCCTCCCCAAGCATTAGTCAAGGTTTAGTCTTCAGGTGCAGCAAAGGTACTAAACCAAGCACTGCCCTTGAAATAGCAGGATGTATGTTGTTGTTGTTGTTATTTGCCATCGAGTCGGCCCCGACTCATAGCGACCCCTCCTTGGGTTTCCGAGGCAGTATCACTACAGAAGTAGGATTGCCCAACCTTCCTTCCGAGGAGTGGCTGGTGGGTTTGAACCGCCAGCCTTCTGGTTAGCAGTCAGGTGCCTTAGGCACTATGCTACCAGAGCTCCTGCAGGATGTATAGCAAGCCAAAGAAACTCTGGTGGTGCAGGGCCTAAGGCATTTGACTGCTAACCGGAAGGTTGGTGGTTCAAACCCACTAGCCACTCCTTGGAAGGAAGGTGGACAATCTACTTCAGGAAAGATTTACTGCCTTGGAAACCCAACAGGGGTCACTATGAGTCAGAATTGACTCAACGGCAGTGAGCTTGTTTAGTTTTTGGTTACAGCAACTAAGCTAAAAAGATCAAAAGTGACCACATGAGTTCCGCAGGCCAGTCCCCTGGCCCAACACAAACACACTTTAGACAGTATCTAAGCGACAGTCTGCCAAAGGTCTGGGTCTAGGTTTTGCAGTCACCATAAGGAGTGAGTTGAATTGTGTACCCCAAAAGAGATATATTTCAGCCCTCACCCCAGTACCTGAGAATGTAACCATATTTGGAAACAGGGTCTTTGCAGATGTAATTAAGTTAAGATGAGGTCATACTGGATCAGGGTGAGCCCTAAACTTAAAGACTTATAGGGAGGAAGGGATTGGGAGACAGGCATGCACATACAGAGACCCAGAAAGGAGACACGGAGAAGGCCATGTGAGGTTGAAAGCAGAGACTGGGCTGATGCAGCTATAAGCCAGCAGCCATAGCAGCTATTAGGAAGGAACAAAGAAGCCTTCTTCCTGGAGTCTTCAAAAGGACCATGGCCTTGTCAACACGACTCTGGACTTCTGGCCTCCAGAGCTGTGACAGAGTACAATTCTGTTTCAATCCTCTCAGTTTGTGGTAATTGGTTATGGCAGACCTGGGAAACTAACAGACTAAATGACATTTTTGCTTACAACTGAGCCACTGTGCCTGGTTGAGGTGCCAGGAGTGTATCTACTTTAGCCTAATGGGTACCAAAGACACTCTAGACTCTATGTACTTCTTGGTGACCTCGAGCCTTGTCTCTTGTCTGCCTCGTTTGTGAGTATCTCCTTTCTGCCATCTTAAAATCCAGTGCTGGCTTGGTGCCTTGACTCTCATAAAGCCTCAGGACCACCGAGAAGCACAAGGGTGAGGTGGGCGAAGATGAGAGGCCGGGGCCCAGCGGTGAGAAGAAGGGGTTGGAGAGGTCAGATCCATGCTCCACTCAGAGCACACTCTGCCGCTAGTCTGAACCTCACAAGTGTGGCAGGCCAGAGAGGAGGGCATCAGGGTACTCTCAATATGAAGCTTGGAAAAACTGGAAGTATATGCTTTCTTCTCTGCCACATGACAATAGGATATAAATCCCAAATACCTTCAGAAAAAAGAAAAGGCTTGCAAATTACATTAAGAGGATATCCAACTAGATATTGAACAGTTATGTCAGTGTCTGTGCTGAATCAGAAAAATGTTCTTTTCTAGGTTGTCTTAAGTATCTCTCAAGAGGCCACTTCTCTTTAGAGCACTTGGCACAACTGTAATTAATTACTTGTTACATCTTTCCTTCCAGAGGGCAGGGGCTGAGGCTTTTTGCTCAGTGATGTATCCTCAGGGTCTGCTCAGTGCCTGGCCTACAGCAGGTGCTGAGTGAGTGTTGCCAAGTGAACGAGTGAACATGGCAGAGGCGGAGAGCAGGCGGGCTGGTTCCCCTGCCCCAAGGATTCCCATGTCTTCTTGGGCAGTGATGAGCAGGATATACTCACTGTCAAAGAGGATGATCCTGCCGTCACCACCACAAGGCTGGGTGTGATCCCCAAAGCAGACGCTGTTGCATTCGGTACTGGCCGCCTCTCCGTACTTCCAGTAATCAGGATTGTTGCCACAGAAGCAAGCATAGCCCGACTCCATCCCGGCAAACTGCCACAAGAGAGAAACAGCACAAGGTAAGTGTTCACCAGGGGTGTCAGGTCCCAGCAAGCAGTCGGCCTCATCTTCCCAGGCCACCCTTCCCTGGGACCTCTCTCTTGTCTCACTCTCACCACACCACATTCCAAGCTGACCATCAACTAAGCACCACAACACTTCCCCCTTCAGTGAGCGCTCCTTTTTAATGCTTGCATTTCCACCGTATTTGTGTAACTTATTTGCATAAGTGTTAAAGGGGTGGAACTCCATAAACTTGAAACATTCCTAATAACTAAAAATGTTATTGAAAGTTGATTATGTGCCAAGTACTAAGTGCTTTACAGCTAATCTTCACAGCAAACTTTTTAGAAATTTATTTTATTTTTGTTGTTGGTGAGAATATACACAGCAGAACAGACACCAATTCACGATTTCCACAAACACCACTGAATGACACCGATGACGCTGGGTTGTGCAACCATTCTCACCCTCCTTTTCTGAATTATTCCTCCCCTGTCAACATAAACTCACTGCCCCCTGAGTTTCTTATCTAACCTTTCGAGTGGCTGTTGTCAGTTTGATCCCATGTAGATAGCTCTTAAAAGAGCATAATATTCAAGGTGGGCATTCTTTACCAGTTTAGCTAAACTATGAGTGGGTTTTAAGAATAATTCAGGGGATAGTTTTCGTTAAAGGTCTAAGATGACCTCAGGGCAATAGTTTCAGAGGTTCATCGAGTTTCCATGATTCCAGAAAGTCTGCATCCCATGAGAATTCTGCAATTTCTCACAGCAAACTTATAGATGCCATTTTAAAATGTTTTGTATTTTCATACAGTAAAACTGACTTTCTTGGTGTACAGTTCAGTAATTTTAACACATGAATAGTTATGTGCAACTACCCAGAGTCAGGATACAGAACTGTCCCATCATTCCCCAAAACGCCCTCAGTGTGATTCCTTTAGAGTCCTCCTTTCCATAACTACAGGAGCTCTGGTGGCACACCCGTATTGCCCTGGTAACTAGCATCTAAGTCATCTAGTGCTGCTATAACAGAAATACCACAAATTTCCTCCTTCTAGGAAGCCAGAAGTCTGAATTCAAGGTGCTGGCTCTAGGGGAAGGCTTCCTTTTTCTGTGGCTCTGGAGGAAAGTTCCTGTCTCTTCTGCGTTTCTGCTCCTAGGCAATCTTCATGTCGCTTAGCATCTCTCTTCTCCATCTCTGCTTCCTTGCTTGTTCTAATCTGCTCCTTTTATATCTTGTAAGAGACTGACTCAAAACATACCTTATACTGATCCTGCCCCATTAACATAATGAAGACAACCCATTCCCAAATGGGATTATAAGCACAGGCATAGAGCTTAGATTTACAACACGTAGTGTTTGGGGACACAATTCAATCCATAACAACTAGTGATGCCAAACAACTTCTCTTGCGTTTATTAGTCATCCATGTATCTTTGGTAAAATGTCCGCTGCTCATTTTTTCATTAGATGATTTGTCTTTTTATTGTTGAGTCATAAGTGTTCTTTATATGTTCTTGATACTAGACCTTTACCAGATGCAAATACTTTCTCCCATTCTGTGGGAAGTCCTTCCAATTTTAATCAAATCCAATTTATCCATGTTTTCCTTGATTGTGTGTGCTTTTGGTATCATAACTGAGAAACCACTACCTAATCCAAGATTGTACAGATTTACACCTATGTTTCCTTCTAAGAGTTGTGTTGTTTTGGGTCTTAAATTTAAGTCTTTGATTCATTTTGAGTTAATATTTGTATATGGTGTGAGGTAGGGGTCCAAATTTGCTCTTTTTACATGTTGGAAAGACTATTCTTTCTCCACTGAATAATCCTGGCATCCCTGGCAAAAATCAATTGCCCATAAACATATTAATTTATTTCTGAACTCTCAATTCCACTGGTCTATATGTCTATCCTTATGCTAGTACCATAGCTCTTTTTTCAGTAGTATAATTTCAAGTTAATTTTTATCTATGGTGAGTTAAGGATAAAGGTTCATTTTTCTTCATAAAGACTTCCAGTTTTTCTCCAGAACCATTTGTTGAAAGACTATCCTTTCTTCCACTGAAGTAACTTGGTACCTTTGTTGAAAATCAGTTGTCCATGTAAATGCAGGTCTATTTCTGAATTCTGCTTCATTGATCTACAGCAGAGCTCAGAAATATTTTTTTCTATGAAGGTCAAATAGTAAATATTTTAGACTTTGTGGGCCATGTGATCTGTCACAACTACACATCTTTGCTATTTTGGGATAAAAGCAGCCACGGACGATATGCAAATGAGTAGATGTCTTCATGTGCTAACAGAAGGAGCCCTGGTTTCACAGTGGTTAAAGTGCTTGGCTGCTAACTGGAAGGTTGGTAGTTTCAACCCACCAGCTGCTACCCAGGACAGAAATGCTGCAGACTGCTTCTGTAAAGATCACAGCCTTGGAAACCCCATGGGGCAATTCTGCTCTGTCCCATAGAGTTGTTATAAGTTGGAACTGACTTGATGGCAATGGGATGGGTGTATGCCAATAAAATTTTATTTATAAAATAGGCAGGTAGTAGGATTTGGCCTGTAAGTCATTGTTGCTGGTTCCTGGTCTACACAACTATTCTTTTTT